ACCTACCTCTCTCTCTCTCTCTCTCTATCTCTCTCTCTCCTCCCGCCCTGCCGTTCCTCTCCTCGCCCCTACCAGAATCCACCGTTTTCACCCTTATTGTTGCGGTTTTATTGAATCCGCCGTGCATTGTCTGCGCGCGAGCGAGACGTGGCCGTTGTTCAAAGAAAATTGGCGCGCAGTTCGAAATACGCGAATATATTCGTCTTTCAGCGGGCTTACCCCGCTGCGGCCCGATGAAATCGAGTTTCACGGGTGCGTAAGTACGGTCAAAAGGTACACTGTGCCGCAGGTACGCTGTTATTCCACACACAACCGTGTGTGTGTGTGTGTGTGCGTGCGTGCGTGCTACATTTTTTTCCCCCTATCTCCTGCTATGCTCTGCGTGCTCGCGCTCGCCTGTATCTTTTTTTTTTTTTCCCTCCCCCCTGCGTAAAATCGTAAAATCGTTATTCGAAAAAATGGCTCGCGAAGAACCATGGAAAGATGACTTCGTCGGCCATAGTCGTCGCACGAACGTTCGTTTCCACGTGTACGATACGAGGCCAGGTATCGAAGGTTGGCGCTGAATACGGGGCGCGGCGGGGAATCGTTGTAAATACGAACGACGTCGTTTCCTCTTTCGTATCGAACGATCCGCCAAAGGTCCGTCCCGTTCTCCATATTTCCCTTTGCATTGTCTCGTTTCCTGGAACGAGTATAAATATGTAAGAAAGTGGAGTTCGTGACCGGATTGCGTTACGTCCACGGGGGATGGAGCGAGGAGATATTCCAAGGAGAAGAAATCTGTGGGGTGGTACGCGGCATCTGGAGGAACGTATCCAAAGGGGAGAGGGGGAGGAAAAAAGCGAGGAGGGTTCCGCGTATCAAGGAGCGGGATCATGGAGCGGAAAGCATGGACGCAGTGTCAACACGCGGAAAGACGAATCGACTTTTGTTATTCCTCCGTTATTTCCGTTATTACACGCGTATTTTTTTATGATATAAACGTTAAAACCATAGGCATGGCCAGGATAAAAGATACGCAAATATTTTCCAATAAGTTTGGAGTGCGCGTCGATAGGCGTCGTTTCGAATCGTTTCGACCGAACAAAATCACGTTGTCGACAAACAACGGAAGACGGAGGAGGGGCGGCGAGGTGGTGGATGGGTGAAGAGGGGGAGGGTCGAAAAAAGGGGTGCTTAATAGCCGTCAGAGACGCGATTGTTGATTCGTGTAATGAAATCAAGAGTAATCGCGAGGGCGATGGCTTTTGTCCGGGATGCATGAATTTTCGGCGAACGACCATTAATTATTCGAAATTAAATATCCTCCGTAGGTTTTAATTAAAATGTTTACAATGTCGCCCATCCAGATTACCGGCGGCATTTTATGACGTCGATATATTAAAAAGGTGCGGATTCATTCATCACGAGCGGATCGGTGGCTACCGGTACTACAACTTTCCAACGAAATATGGAGCTCGCTCCCCCGTTCCTCCCCGTGTCGAATAAAAACATCGTGGCGCTACGAAGGAGAAGCGAGAAAAATCGTCCAATAATGATCGAATCGCGCGAGTCGATCGATCGCCAATTTCCAAATCCAATGATACAATTACGACGCGTACCGATAATATTCGCGTAATTAAAATTCCGCGCCCCCCATCTCCTCCGCCTGTGCCTCCGCCACTACAACGCTCCCTGACTCTTGCGAGCAAACGATTCTTGTTTGTTTTGCAAACAAAGGGTTTCTCGTAAGGGTTGGAGAGACTTCGAGCGGAGAGAAAGAAGGAGAGGGTGGTGGAAGCGAGGCACGGGAGAAGCGAGGGGAGAAGAAAGAAGGAGGGGTGGAAAGTGAAAAGGGGGTGCTGGAAAACAGGGGCAGAATTATTACATCTTTTGTTCGAAGGCTCGAACCGCCCCATTTGCGGAATTGCGGATCGCGATCCAGCCGCGATTGCGACCGCTGAATACCGCAGGGTCGGCCAGCCTTTTGTTAGTTTTGACTAATTTCCGCGGGTAATCTGCTTCAATTCGAATTTCCTCAACCATAATAGCACGGTTACGTAGGAGTTTGGCAAAATTTTCTACGCGATATCTCCATATTTCCCGATTAATTTACGCCCCGCTATCGCTTCACACGGAGAACAATCATTTTTTTCTCTCGTGTCGCGACACGATCGTCCCAATTTTTCTTTTCCATTCGAAATTCTACTTCGATAAACCATCGAATTTTCCTCCCCCTCCACCGGCAGTGGAGATTTTCGCGCGGGGGAAGGAAACAGAGTATACGACGATCGTAAAATTTTAATCCCTATGCGACGCGTGGTGCACCATCGACAAAACCCAACCCTTGAACAAGTTTAATTCTTGTGGGTCCCATCGGTGACTTTATCGCGAGAAATTGCCACGGCCCGGAAACCGTCGTTACAGCATCGTTACCGTAAGAACTTACCGCGAGCATTGTTACGGCTAATGTTACCGAACTTGGTTAACTTTCAGTTTTACCGCCGATTCGGATTAAGAATTTATGGTAACAACCGACTCTTCTTCGGTTTATTCCCCCGCCGCGGAGAAGAACCGAGAAAACGTTTTCGAGAGACACACTTTAATTACGCCCCTCCCTCCCCCAACGTTTCCAACGTTCCTTACGATCGGACGCGTATATGATTCTTCTACTCGAGTGCAATTAAATAAGTCGCGCGTGGAAAGAAATATTTGATTTTCGCGCAAAATCAAAAGGAGAGAGAGCGGGGAAGGGAATGGACAACGGTCGGAGAAACACGGTAATCAGAGAATAAGCGTTTCGAGACGCTGCGGTTGGAACTCAATGCACGCTGGCATAGAGGCTGCCCTCTTTGCCGTATAATTCGATCCATCGTATCGTATCGTCTTACCGTCGATTCGATAAATCGGACGCGACCAGCTTGGACGACGACGAGACGAAAAGAAACCGAAGTAGGAAACCGTACATACCGGTCTCATGTATCATCTACTTGCCGGATCGCCACTTTCACCCGCCGGTCAATTACATTAACGAAGAAACACGGGATGACAAGCGAGCAAGAAGAGGCGGAACAAGTTGGAAACTTATATAACTCCATCCTGACAGCTCGCTATTTTTCCTTCGTCCAGCTGGTTTCGGGGATAACGTTCGTGTGCCGCGTCGTAACACGAGTTTCTCGACACTAACTTTCTGGTAATAACGGTAAAACACGGTTGAGAAGTTTCGATCTGGCGGAGTCTGTTTTTGCTCGCTCGATTGGCCGGATGAAAATGTTCGAATTCTCGTTCTCGTGGGTGGCGGGAATGGAGGACTGTTTTAACCCTTCTTCCTTACGCCGTATAATCCTTTCCTGGGATGGCTCTCTCTTGGCGGTCGGTATAATCGCGCCACACCGGTATTCCCGCGGGAGCCGTTGCTCTCGACACGATTCCTCCAAAGGATGAAACGACGAAAAGTTTAATGAGCCCTCCTACCACGTGTCCTCGGTCGGTATAATTGCCTTTTCCTCCTCTTAAAGACCTTTATTTCCGTCGATTCTTTGATCGAGTTAAAGATAGAAGTAGATATGTTTCCAAACTTCGTAGAAGAGAATAGATATTTTTGGACCGAGAAATATTCTCTCTCTGTCTAAACGTTGGAAAGTTAAACGTTTACGTAACCAAGAAAATAAATCGAAACGAAAGATATTTGTCACAAGTAATCTAAACGCACCCACATTCTTTGTATCTTTAAAGATAAATCGTGAAATCAAACGATTCACTCGCGAATCTAACGGAAAATCTAATAGAATCTATCAATCGTATCTTATCGTTCAATTACGTATTCTACGCGACGCGTTTTTGGCCTTAAATCGATAATTTATCACAGTTCCGATTCAGAATAAAATCTAGGTCCTTGTATACATCTCTTCGTCATCGCCTGTTTCTTATTCCCTTATTATTCGATGGAAAAGAAAAAATTGCAGCTATTAATAAATTTTAGCAAGGATTAAGTCCATTTTAAAATTATACCGTATGCACGATAAAACCGTATCAACGCGACTCGGCAACGTTTCACGACCGTTTTACAGCATTTCGAAACATAAACGCGACTGGGCACTAATGGACCGGGTTAAATATGTAAGAGAAGCCTGCCCACCGGGTAGCGGGTAACAATAAACTAACACTTAAGACGTGCTTCAAGTCACAATGCGAAGTCACACTCTTCGCGCTAACGATCTCACCTCCAAGCTTCAAGCTTCAAGCTACTTGCGCCACCGTCTCCCTGAAAAACTGTTCTAACTGGTGCGGGATGCAGAGAATGCGAAAGAGCAGCGAAACATCCACAAATATTTAAACGCGAGTCGCGATTTAGAAATGCATCGACGAATAAAGAAGAAACTGTAAATATAGAGTGTTACTTTTACCGGAAGGTGTATCGACGAATATTTAAACACAATTGCGTCAACAAATGTGAATAGCGAACAAAATTTAATAAATTGTTATTTTTGAAAATTAGAAAGAAACATTGAAGAATTCAAATTTACTATCTTTCTAATGAATAAATTAATGAAAATTATTTTATCTTCCAGCTACTTTTAATCATTCATTTAAACGAATAATTCCAATACATATTCCCTCTAAGATTAAAGATTATTATTAAAGACTAACAATGATAAAGAATATAGAGGAAGAATTAAAGATTCAAAAGATAACAATTATTTTTCAATCATCTAATAATTTCATCTTCCATCTAAATCCTTGATTTAAAACGAACGGCTCCGTTACTCGTTCTCTCATAAAAACTAACAATGATGAAAATATTAGTTTTTAAAGCCGCGCAGGGTGTCGTTAACGTCTCGAGCTTTCCCCGTTCGCGAGCTAGAAGTTGCTGTCCCCTCGTTGCTCGTCGCTTTTCTTAACGCCTCGCGTTTATAGGCCTTCGTGAGCTATAATTTCTTTTTTTCCTTCTTATATTGTTTGATACGAGAGAAGAAAAACGTGTTCCCATTCGCCTACTTTGCACCAACTTATACGACTTCGCGTTATATAACTCCGTATTAAAATCGTTCCAAGTAATTTTACGAAAACTCACCATTTCGCGATTAAATCATATCTAACGCGAGAAAAACGTATCTAACATCTACTAGTTTTTAAAAATTTTAAACGAGATATATATATATATAGTAAATTAACATTGGAATAATTAAATCGCGATCAAGTTTTCCGTTCGTGCATCCTTAAATTTGGTCGTCGTACCTTTCGATCACGACGGCCGATAACGACGGTCATTATAAATTTAAGCGCTTTTAACAAAAGCCACGTTAGCTCACAGCCGTTTCGCACGCAAGCGGCACTTTGCATGCCGCATTCCGGACGACTTGCCACCCTTGTTTGAACTGGTGAACTGGTGTTGCGCTCAAAGTCCGAATGCATAATTAATCGGGTTATCAATTAAAGGAGCGCCGCCGATTCGTAACCGCTTCGTACAATCGAATATCGCTGTTATACATCGATATTTGTTCGAAAATAGAAACTGCTTCTAAAGCGTTTCGTCCGTGACAGAATTGTTTCTGTATCGCTTCTCGATCAAAATTAAATCCAATTTAAATCCGATTTTTATTCGATAATACCTAATAATCGGCCTAATAATCGTGAAGGAACATATCATTCTTAAAACATTCTTAAAACATCTCTAATGTTTAAATTCTAACGAATTCTTTAAATTAATATCAATATTTTTACATTCAAATTAATCGTCAAACTCGAAATATTCGATTATTTCGTGTACTCTATGAAGATACAGAAGATCGACAGACGATCTATCAACTGATTCTCATTGGTGGAATCGTACATCCTGTAAACTCTGTTTGAAACCGGCGAACTCAATCATTCTCTCTGTTCTACGATACGGCAAGGACCAACACGGTTTGTGTAAATACAGGGAACTATGTGCACTTTACTCGATATTTAATGCGAACGCCGAATCCTTCCCGTACATTTTCGATTAGAAAGAAACACAAAGAGGAATGAAATTACGCGATACTCGTGATAAATACATGTAAGTAAGTTTTTTTATGATAAGTTTAAATAGTTTTGCGTTATAAAATTATATTATAAGCAGATACAAATATAAATTTTTATGCGACTAAATTTTGAATGCACAATGCCACCTATCAGGATTGTGCGCACGATGAATGATTAAAAAAAGGAAAATAATATAAATTTACAAAAAGAGATATGTATAAGATATATACTTATAATATATAATAATTAGATCAAATATTATGATTTTTGATCAATAATTTAGACAAAGAAAATAATAAATTTAATTAAATATCGGCACAATCTTTAAGTATATATTTAAGTATATATATAATGTATATATTTTATAAAAAGTAAATATAAACAAGGAGAGAAAATAGTGAGAAAAGGACAGATATAAAAATATGGTAAAAATATGGAATCAATCTTCATCGTATAATATCATAAATGAAATTAATATAAATAAAAAGAAAAATAGAAAGTGGAAGGAAGAAAATAGAAATAGAGTAAGAAATGATTATAAGCGCTATCTTTTGAGTAGCAGAAACATTTCTTTAAAAACAGAATAAAATAGAATAAGAATTAAGGATTAGCGCCATCCTTTGATAATGCACTTTCGAGAGATGGCACTGTTCCTCAATTCTTACCCTACTTTATCTTGTCACAGATAATATAAACCTAACATACCTATTTACGATTCTATTCATCATATCTTCACTATATTCACTTATCCTATTCTTCACGAAAAAATTTGTTTAAAATTAATGATATCTTCTGTTTGTTCGTAAAATGTTCGATCTTTGATTTTTTTACAAAACTAACAACAAAGAATCCTAAGGAATATTAACAAAATAAATTAAACCTAAAAATAAAAATTAAATTTTATACATATATATTAAATTATTTTATTAAATTATATATTATATACTACCAATTGTATACTATTATATACTATCAATTGTATATTAAAAACTGTATGCTATATAAATATATTATTATGAATGTATAGTAATATTTTATATATATATATATTCATCATGAAAATATAAAATATTGAAAATTTTAAAGTTAAAAAATCAAAAAAAATCAAATATATTCCACACAGAGTTATTATATATTTATTTTTATTGACTACCACTATTTTTAACAGCAACTACAATTACTACTATTATCATTTATTATGCATGCATTTATAATTATACTTTAAACAGTATTTCTGTAACATTATAATGTTATAAGTTTATTATATTATAACTATTATTATTATTTATATTTTAAAACTTTTACTTGGAATAATTTAATAAATTTTTTAACTTAATTAATTTAAAAATATTTGTAAATGAAATTTACAACATGACCTGATTTAAGAAACATTGAAATAATATTATCATCTAAATCTACAATTCTACTCGTTATCTACATAATTAACTTAATGCTCATTTTAATATTTGGATTTAAAAAAAATTTATCTTGTTATATAATAATTTAAAGATTTGTTTAGGAAGCCTACCAAAAAAATCTCAATAAAATCAGAAGATGATATGAATATAAAAATCCTTTATTGATTCCACATTGATTCCACATTGATCTCTGAAACAAATAAGACTATAGATTAGTAAAAATGTTATAAAATATAATTATTTTCCAATTGATTATAGACTCATGCTGATGGTTATATATCTTAATATCTAAAACAAACTTAGAGAAAATTATTAAAATAATTAAGAAAAGAAAAAAAAATAACAATATGAAAATATTTTTACATTTCAAATCATACTTAAGTTTATAAAAACCAAAAAATTAAATATTAGAATAAAACAGAAGATAAAATTAAAAATTGTTTGTTATTATTATCATACAATGATATACACTATCATAATTATTAAATAATAATAATTGCTATAATAATTGATATTTTTATTTTTACAAATCAAGGAATATTATACATATATACATATATATATTAATATATATATAATAATATAAATATATATATTTTCAATCATCGATAATCAAAATTTTTTATATCATTCATATTAATAATTAAATATATTAAAAAATTATTAATAATTTTCAATATCATTTTGTTAAAAACAAGACATTTCAGAAAGATTTATCTAATTGATCTATCTGATGTAATGTGATGAATAAAACACAAAAAAAGAAATATTACTATTCACAGCTACAATAAATACCTGTGATCACTATGCTTGTACAAAAATCTATGTATACAACTAGTTACTCGTATCGACTCGGAATTTTTATTCTAATATGATTGAATGACCAAAAGAATATAAATATAATGACTTACGAATAGATGCAAAAATCTGCACTCATCAATACTACCATGATCTATAGAATATCTTTGCAAAATAGCCATCAAATATGAAGAAATGGAAACTGTAACAAAATATAGAACACTATAATTTAAATATATTTTTATTATTATTTTAAAAAATTGAAATAAATGGAAAATATATAAGAATAATTACTTCTTTGTCTTCTTTTCTTAAGAAAACTCACTGATTCTGTAATTTCCAAAAACGAATATTTAAAAAAAAATTAAAAAAGTTATTAACACGTCCGTATAATTTACAATCGGCAAACAAGCACTGATTTTAATATGTAATTATAATAAATAAATTTAATTAAAACAAATTTGCTTTAAAATATCAAAAAACTGTTAATAGCAAACACTGAGTCTATAAATCACATTACACACGATACGCACAATAGTCTTCTGAAAATAAAACTGTTTAGTGTTGAAGGGAGAAAAAAGATATCTTCAAAAAAGAAGCAAAATATTCTTCTTATATATTTCTTTCTGTTTTTTCTGAATTTATTTATTTCAGAAAATATTTATTTTTTTAAACTTACAAACTGAAAATTATCAATTTTTCATGAATAAAAAATTTCATATATAAGAATAAATATTTTTAAATTATTATCTAAACAGAATTATTATCTAAATTATTAATTATTAATCTTAATTATATAATTTATGTAATTTGTGATAAATATTCATTATAAAAGAATAAATATTCTTTGAAATAATAAAGTAAAAATTAATCGTATAAGAATAAATACATACAACAAAACGTTAATTTTCTCTTTTAAAAAATATAATGGCATCCATATTGGAACTTTTCCCGCCTTTGAAATTGGATCAGTAGTAATCAGATAATAATTACACAAAAAAATTTTATCAAATAAACTTATAAAATGCAATATTGATTGAATAATAATATATGAATAATAATAATAATAATAATAATAATAATAATATAATTAAGAAAAAATATATATGTAACAATTTTGCAACAAATAAATTATACACGAAGAAAGAATACAATAGAACTAATCACTATGAATATCGATAATATGCACACTTTGATATTCATAATTTCAATTATCGAATTACGAATTAGGAAAGGAAAGTACGCAGCAATTCGGTAATATGTTGAAACACGTCAAAATATATCGAGCGTAACAAATTTAATGCTTAGAAACGCCATGTCATAAAAAAATGTCAACAGTCTCGAGCATAACATTGAACGAAAAAGAAAGTAAAATATATAAACATTATACAGATATAAGTATAATTGCGTTTCTAAATACATCTAATGTATTTAGAAACGCAATATGTATCACTAATATAATTTAATTTGATAAAATAAAATTTTTATACATCAGTTTTAATGTGAATAAAAAGATTATAATCTATTTTGAATAAATCTATTTTTGTTAAAAGAATAAAATATCAAAATTATCTCTTAAAAATTATGAGATGTTATAAATCATTTTTCCTTTGAAAGTCCGTTTGAAAATCCCGACATCGAATATAATCGAATAGCAATTTGTCCAAATAAAAATCTAGATCGTAAAACAAATGTATAAAAAAATTATATTAAGATTAAATAACAAATAACAAGAATTCAAATCTTAATAAAACATAAATTATCTCAACGGTAACAATTATAAATAGAAAAAAAAACAAAGAAACTCAAAACATCCTATTAATTTCGTTATTACAATAATAATGAATACATTATTAAATAAACGAAATTTATAAAATTTTATAAATTCGATAATAGAATATGATATAATTACTTACTACGTATTCAAATCAGCAAAGCCACGCGTCCTATCACGACGACTTTCCACAGGAGACTGACGCCGTACGCCATACAGTTTATCAACAACTTTCTGATTGGCTGGCGTAAGCCAATTCTATAATCGAAATTGCGCGAAAAATTAAAATATTATATAATATATTTTAATTATTCTTATAAAAAATATATTAAGACTAGATTATTAATTTATTTATATATTATTAATTTTTAATTTATTATTTATTTATTTGATTTTTATATTTATATATTCTTTTATTATTAATTTATTTAGCAATTATCAATTAATCGATTATTTACCGATTTATTAATTTATCTAGTGATTTATTTGTAAACTTTTTTTATAGATTTTATTTAGTTTCATTTATTATATATGCATCAATGTATTTATTTATTCCTTCGTTTATTTAATTATTTATATATTTATTAATTTATTATAATATTTATTTGTTTAGTGATATATTTTGTAGATGTTTTATTTATTTATATATACATAGATAATTTATTTATTTACTTCTTTATTTAGTCATTTAGTTATTTAACTTATGTAATGTATATAAATATATATATTTATATATTTTTTATTCATTATTTTATTATTAGGTATTTAGATATTTATTTTTATTTTTTATTATAGGAAAAGTACAAAATAAACATTTTTCTTCAAAACTACAATATCTTAATCATTAATGTAAAAAATTTACTATATTTTCTGTTGATATTTTCTGAACGATGATGTCACAAAACATAATATATGATATATTCGAATATATATATATATATATATCGAATATATAACACTAATATTTTAATACGAATTGCTGCTCGATTACGATACTGAGATTTAAACAAATGAATCCGGCCTAATATATTATAAAAGAAATAAAAAAAATTTTTGAAGCATTCTTTATTAAATGAATAATAATAATAAAAAATAATAAAAAAATAAAATTGTATAAAAAATTTTTTTCCTTTACTATTTAATCAATTTATCTTTAAGAGGTAAATCAACAAATGATAAATATTATTCTATTTATTTCTACAATTATATAAATTAAATTTTTTATATAAATATTTTACGGTAAATTTTTTTTCAATAAAAATAATAAAATCATTATTCAAATTAATAATTTATTAATTTATTAATTCATGAACTATTGCTAAAACAGTTCATAATTATAAATTAATAAGTCATTAATAAGTTTGATTATAATTTTAGAAAAAAAATTAAATCTTTTATTCTGTTAAATCTTTATTATATTTTATTCAATAAAAAGTTAACAGTTTTATAAAATGCATAATTTCATAAAAGATATGAAAAAAAAACAATTTTTAATACTTTTATTTATTAGTTCATATAATACTAATAAATTCGATAATTCGATTTTTTAACATTCATGATATTAAAGAATAAGCATAGTAAAGAAAGCATAACTAGATAATGGTGATATTTAAAGTTGGAATATCCATTCTTAATGCTGATTATTAGCATCCTGCTTGAAGATTAGCACTTGCAAGTCTTGCAACTACATTGTCCACCAGATTTACAGCAGCATTTGTCTATAACAGCACATATATATATACAAGATTAAAAAATATTTAATAACAATTTATCTGTAATAAATTTTTTAAAAAATTCAAAATTTAAAAAATTATGAAAATATTTTGCACGTAAAATTTTCAAATAAATAATTTATCAAAATTATTTGATTCATGGAATGCAAACTTAACTGGACTGTACACAGACATGAATAATAGTTACCATTAAACGGTCACTGCTCTCGTTTATAAAAAAAAGAATACAGTGAACATAGAATACCATTACATTCTTTCGATGAAACTTTTATATATTGTTATTGTATATATTGTTACAAGAGAATCTAAGAAAAGTATAATCTAAAGTATAATTTTTATAATATAAAAATTTGAAAAAATTGAAATTAAAATTCTGAAAATAATTTAAATAAAAAATTATTACCACCGCATCCGGAATCGCCACACTTGCATTTGTCACCACATTGACATTTTTGGCATTTATCTATAATAAAAAATGATTAAATATTAATTTTTAAATAAAAAAAATTTTAATTACTTTAATAAATATAAGTGCGGAAATTTATATTAAGTACACATAAAATATATAGATAAATTGGTTAATCTCATGGATTGAATATTGCCCGTAATAACGTTTAATGAATAAATTATTTCACTACATCCCGTATAAATTAATAAACTGTTGTATTATTAATTCCAAAAAAATTTCGCATCTAAAAATTTTTAATTATTAAATATTATTAATTAAAATATGAAATGTCGAAATAATATTATTATTATTATATACTATTATAATAAATAATAATAATTGCAAGCAAAAAATAATATAAAGTAAGTTGTAAAAATTTATACATCAAATTAATATTATAATAAAAAATAGCACGTTAAAGATATTAAAAATATTAAGATAAACAAAATTTAATAATAATTTAAAGAATAGCAAGCATTAGAATTTCAATAAAAATTTATATAAGAATATAGAAAGAAAATTCTTTCCCAAAGAAATAAAGTTTCTCATATTTTGAATTAATTCTTACCTGCACATTTATCGCAACCTGGTCCCGGCATTTTCACTTGTAGATGATTATGATTATCACGATTTAAATTCTTCGAAAGCTGACTGATCACTTGTTAGTTCGGTCGTACTCGTTCAAATTTATCGATCATCTCCTACCACGAATGCTCTTATACTAACATATCTTAATGTCGTGTGCAACTAAAGTGCCATGCGCAAATCAGGAACGTATCAATTCAAACTTCATACTAAATTTTACTATTCAAAATTATTTTTTTTATTTAATATTTGCAATTATTATCATTATTATAAGTTTATATTATTTCACATATTTTCAAATACGAATTTCTATCTAAAATTTTTTAAAATATTTTTAATTTTTTAAATATTATTTCGTCTTATGCATTAAAATCTTGCATTATACATACTAAAATAATAGGAATGTTAGAAATTATTAATAAAAAAAATTTTAAGCTATAATAATTCTATTATTTTAAATCAGTCTATGTATAAAATACATATTTTTATTTTTATAGGACAAGTTCTATTACTAAAGATTAGGAAATAAAAGGCACAAATGTATAGTTTACATCCCTGCTTTAGCAGCACGAGCCCAATAAGAAATGTTGCACGTTACACAACATTACGAGATAAGAACAGTAACACTCAAATGAATTAAGTTTAGTGCATTCTAGAAATTTTACGAAAATAATAGATCATTTATAATTAGAATGATTATATTTATTGTTATTTCTTTCTTTAAAATCTTTTAGAAATATAAAATGAAATTAAGAAAGAATTTTTTATGAATATTATTTTACGCTATTTAATAAACTGAAGAGAAAAATTTATAACGAATTTTTTTGGAAAAAAATATAATTCAAAATTAAACAAGTTTATATATACTTTATTAAAAATAATTGCTTTTTTTTCAATTGTAATCAAAATATAAAATATCAACGTTATTATAAAATACATTTACATTCTGTTTAATTTTTCCATTTATTAATAAAATTTGTTTTATTAGCAGTTTGTTCAATATGTATAGATTCATCTTCAGGTTCATAATTAATTTCATACATTCCAATATCTGTTGCACCTTTTTCTTTTTGTGCCGAATTAATCCGACCTGTAGGAAAATTTTTTAAATAAATAAATATAAATTATAATAAAATTAATATATTTTTTCATAATTGCATATATATATATATATATATACTTTGATGTCGGATAACAATTTTATTTTGAGCAGTTTCCAGTAATTTCTTAACGCGAGTTCCTTGCTTACATGATTTGTTTCCCGTTATCTAAAATTGTAATGAATGAACACATTTTCAGAATAAAGAAAAAATATAAAAAAATAAAACATACCGTTTTAATTTGTAAAGGAAGTTTATATGAAACTCTAGGAAGTACAAAATGATTTTCAGGTGTACTGAAATTTTCTAGAGTTTTTGTTATCTTATAAAAATAAAAAAAAAGTATTAACAAAATAAAATATGATTTTAATTTTTGATAAAATTAAATATAACATTTAAACAATATTTATATTTACCTCTTGTTTATTTGTATTTACTTTAGGAGATAAATTAATCTTGAGTGGCGCAATTCCTTCAGTTTTATGTATGCCTTTTGATGAAATATTTTGTTTTGAATTTCTACTTAATGATACTTCAACTTTTTTTTTCACAGGTGTAAGTAATAAATGATCTGTTTTAGCATGTACATTTTTTATAAGTTGTGTATCTGTACCTCTTATATACATACCCACTGGTGATATTATAGTATTATAATTTAATCGATATAAACCTTCTGCATGTGGACTTTTTACAATATGTTTTACAGGACTTTGCATATTAGGGAAATATACTTTTTTCTTTTTGTTACTTTTATTTGGAGGAGTTTCTCCTGGTGTGACAAAAAGTTTTGGTTTTTTATTTTCTATTTTCTCCTCAATTTTTTCTTTTTGCTTTTTTGATTGTGATGATCTATGTAGATTACAAGATTTCACATTTGGACTTAAAAGTCCTAAAATTTTTTTTTGTAAAACTGAATTTTCTTCAAATTTTATATCTGGTTTTTTAGTTTTTCTAAAACTATTTTCACTTGCATTAGAATTCGAATTTTGAAGTATTTTTAAAAGAGGCTTATGTTTTTCTAAATATGCTTGATAATCTTTACAAGATACTAGAGTTTGCAAAAATTTAGTTTCATCATTCAATGAATTTGATTCATTGTCAGGAGATATTCTTAATGTTTTTTGTGCTTCTATTGTTTCAGGATCTGCATTAATTTCTGAAATAATTCTTGCTGTATTAAGACACCTTTTTCTTTTTTCTGCTATATCTTGTAAAAGTGTTTTCTCTAATTCATCTGGATCTAGTATTTCAAAACTAGTTTTAAATTTATCAGATATTGTTTTACTGAAATCAGGTTTTTCACTTATTTTTTTAGATTTTTTCTTAGAATATGAAATATCATTACATTGATCATCTTTTGATTTGTTGTGTAATTCTTTTAATGTTGAGCAATTAAATTCTAATTTCTTTTTAAATATTGAAGATGGACTTTGACATAAATATTTATTTGATGATTTTGGAGTATTTAATAGTATATTTTCTTCTGAAGTTATATCAGCCATAGATACGTTCAATGATGCCATTTGTTGCTCACATTTATTATAGATCTCACTCATACTCAATAAAGAAGACATTGATAAAGATTTACATAAAGTTTTAGAATGTTCTTTTTCTTTAGGAAATAATTGATTACATTGAGCTTCCAAATGTTCAAATGATGTACTACTCAGATTTTCAATACTTCCACTGGTATTATTTTTTGATATTTTAGCAAAAAATCGTTTTTTAATTATATCTACACCAGAAATAGGTGTAACAGTTGTAGACTTATTTAGGGGAGAACATAACTTTTCATTTTTATTTTGTTTCATATGAAGAGGTGTATTATGTGTAGAATTTATAGATATTTGTTCTAAAGATGAAAGAGTACACACTGGTGATTCAGGCCATTCGGGTTGAGATTCATTTTCTATAAATTTGCACATTTTTCTGAATTCTGTTGTTAATCTACTTAAATCTATTGCAGATGTTTCATTTACATCATTATCATTATTTATGACAGATTCTTCAATGATAGTTAAAAGCTTTTCAGTAAAATTTTCTGGTGAATGCATAAATTTGTTAGATAAACGTTTCCAGATTTGTTTTTTATCTCTTATTTGATTAACTTGATCATCTAATGAACAAAGAATTGCTTCAAATGTTCCATTATTTATATGTTTATCTTGATATTCTGAGAACAAACTTACATTTGTTTTATTATTATTTATATTGTGATTGGTATCCCTTTTTGAATTTTCATTTATTATATTAGATTCTAATTTAATGTTTGAATCTATATTTTGTTTTTTAATTGTATTTGACAATTTGTTACATATATTGTTATTTTTCATAGAACATTGAGGACTATGATTTTCTTTATTATCATTTATTTCAGTGCATAATTGTTCAACTTGAAAAAAATCAATACGCTTATTTAAATCTGGGGCAGATTTAAAAATTGATAGATTTTCTGTAAAGGAATGTTTCAAAGAATTATTAGCTAGAATAAAGGAATATTTATTATTATCATCACTGATTATACTATCATTGATATTAATATATTTACTTTCAATTTCATTCGAATTGTCCTGAGATATCGAACAAAGTGAATCAGTATCAATTTCAGAATGTCCTAAAAAAGAATGTTATTTGTTATTACATAAAAAAAGATTAATATATTATTTATGAAAAAATTTACAATACTGTATAAGTCTGTATTTTACTTACGAAAGCTATCTAAGGAATCTATGAAATCATTAGCTCGTCTTCTGTGTCGACTCATTTTTATGTTCTAATTCTAATATATTAATTGCACTCAATTTTATACCTATTGTTAATTTTTTTGAAACAACACTATGTATTATACGTTAGAAACGTTACGAATTGCTACCATTAACCAATTTTAAATTATCAGTAATGCCAACATATTAAAAAATTATATATAGGAAATAATCTATAGTTTATGTTGGCTAAATAGGAATACAAATAATTATAATCTGAAGATGTTTGAATATTTTTTAATTATTATTTCTTAATGTGCATAATTGTTTGAAATGATATTAAATAATATTAAGATAATATATATAATAATATTAATATAATTCTGCGAGATTATCATTTGTCATTTTTCTTTTTTATTTATGTTTCTTTAAGGATATTTATATTAACACAGATTATTACAATATTTTAATCAAATAATTTTCAATGAGTGTAACTGAACAATCAACATTAAATACTTTATCATCTAATACATATGATATAAAATATGCAGAATTTGTATATAAAGTGTTAAAAGAATCAGCTGAAAGTTTTGAAAAAGAACAAAAATGTGTGCATTATACATATAATATTTTATAATTATTAATTTTTTATATATTAATTAATGATTTTAGTTTTAGATAATGTGTTATTAAATTTATACAATATTTTTGGTGATGTATTTGAAAGAGCATTAGAATTATATGAACAAGAACGTATAACTCATATCTTTCCTTCTGAAAATCCTGGTATTGCGCCTCATAGTGATAGAAATAATTCCAGATATTTAATACAGATTAAAGGATTGTCAGGAACAACATATATACTCTTTCCTGACATAAATTACTGTATTTGTGGTTCTTTTAGGTAAGATTTCTTAGATATTACTCTTTTAGATAACTTTTAAATTTTTTAAATATTCATAATAATAATGAAATATTTTTAGATGTCAAGTATTAAATAATAGATCTTTGTTTACTTGCAAACATGTTATAGCAGCTTGGTTAGCTGCAGTTACAAAAAAAAAATTATCTCATCAATATATAACAGAAAAACAATTTCAAAATTTGTTATTATATCAAGTTTCAAGTAAACAATATGTATCCTGAAGTAGAAACTAATTCATTAGTTGCAAAGTTAGGAAATCTTAAAACCATAGTACAATTATTAAAAGCAATTAATTTTAAAGAGGTATAATTATATTAGGACATTCTACTTTTAATAATAAATAAAGTATATTTGATTTGAAAAATTTATATTTTATTTATAGAATGCTACATGTTTTGGTACTGAAAATGGTTTGAAAATAACAGTAGAAGATGCAAAATGTATGCAAGCTAGTGCTTATATTCCAGCTAATGTATTTCAAATATTCAATTTGAAAGAAGATGTAATTTTTAGAGTTAATTTAAATATATTAGTGGAATGCCTTTGTATGTTTTGGAGTAGTATAAATTGCCAAGGAAGTTCTGTAGCTTTGCAACTTTTTTATAAAGTATATATAGTTAAAATACATTGTAAACACTATAAATATATATAATTAAAATATATTAAAAATATTAATAAAAAAAAATTTTTCAATAGGGTAATGGACATCCTGTAACAGTTCTTATTGAAGAAGATGGTATTATAACAGATTGTTCTTTAAAAACACAGGAACCTGATGAATTGTTAGATTTCCATCTTGAACCAGAAAATGTTTTGAATAAAGTAGTTCTTCAAACTGAATTGTTAAAAGATATCTTATCAGAGCTAGATTCAAGTAGTGATTTGATTGAGGTAAAACATAATTTAATGTTTAGTTCTATTATAAATTCTATTATAAACCCTATAATTTTACATTTTGATAATATTGCAGCTATTTTTATCTCCTTCCCCACCTTTCTTTCGTATTAGTACAGCTGGTTTAGCTGGAATTTGTCATATTGAATTACCTCATGACGGTGAATTGATTGATAATTTCCAATGTACTTCAACAGCTACATCAAGTTATAAACTTACACATATTAAACCAGCTATGAAGGCATTATCATGTGCAAATAAAGTTTCATTGAGGACTGATTCATTTGGACTGTTGTGTTTTCAATATATGGTTAAGACTGATGAAGGACATACATGTTATATAGAATATTATGTAAGCTCATATTTACTAACAAATGTAATGTGAAATTAGATATAAATACAAATAAAATATTTCAGATTTCTCCAGTGATAGATCCTGATGAATAATTTTATTTGGAATGGAGATAATAGGATCATAAATATTGATTAAAAATTATTTCCAAATATTCTTTTATTTTTACAGATTTATAATTAAAGCTTTCCATTTATTGTATCACATAAAAAAAATACCTTTATATGAAATTCAAAACTATTCTTTATTGTGAATTTGCTTAATATACTCACAATGAATATGATGTACATAAAAGCATGTGAATGATATTTAAAGATGCATAAAAAAATATATAAATTTTCAATATATTTTTAAAACTCTATCTTTGTCGTACATGCGAATATTAAACTAATATTAATTAATAATATTTCATATATTTCGTAATACCGAGTATTATATTGCGAAATACTATATCTTTCAAACAATATCAGTGATGTTTATACATTCATGTATTATTGTGCGTATAAAAAACGTTTATATTATTTTTTTTCATTTGTCAAAAATATTGTATTGCCATTAGCGAAAAAAATTTTTAAATCATCAAATAATTCATTAGTTGAAAAAGTTATTTTCTTAAATAAAATTTTTAGTCTTGAATCTTGTACACTCTCGTACATATAATATCATCAACTTTCATGATCTGAAATATGAAACAAAAAATATTAATTTCCATATATAAATACATATATAAAATTATACATAATATTTAAAATTGTTTTCATTATATGAATTTAAGTATACGTTTTTTTCATGAATCCTATATTTTTTTAAAACTCTCTTTCAAGTTTGAAATAATTATTAATTCTATTATTGAACTTGTTATTATATTGTTCGAGTCACGAAGAGCACGTAATAATTGGCGGACCTTTTGACCAATAATAGACATTATTATTATCATCAGATGTTCGCTGTTATCTTTCGTTGTGTCATTTAACTCTACAGAATTTCTATTGCATAAAATGAAATTCAATTACTGAACTTTTAATTCTTTAATGATCGAGATTATTATTATTCAAGTTTTTATTAGATTTAATATTTATAAACCAAAATAATAATAAAAGAATGAGATGTCAACTTAAAATATAAATATTGCATTAAAAATAATTTTTTTCTTTCTATTTTTTTTCCATACGTACTGCTTTCATTTCTGTTGATGAGAATTCTCTTTCAATTGTGGTCTGCTTCTCTCCTTTTTGTACTTGAATAAGTTTATTTCCATCTAAAGTGCAGACGCTCTTTACTTTTCTTCCATCTACCGTTTCTTCTTCAAATTCTTCGCCAAGCTTGAATTTTATTTCAGTGTTCTTGAATGGGCTAGTCGTTTTCAACGTATAGAGACCATTATTCTCCGTCAGTTCAACTACGGGACTCACACTACTGCCCACTTTACGTGTCATTATACCTACACCTAAAGAAAAAAAAAGAAAAAATTATGTTTAAAAAATATACAGATTTGAAAACTCATTTTAGACTTAATTATTTATAAATTGATCGTAAATTTTAATTATAATATTTAAATTTTAAATTATATTTAAAGCATTTTATGCAAAATAATTTTTGCTTAATCGAAAAAGATTTTCGTACCCAAAGCTTTCATAAACTCGTCAAAATTTTCACTCGATTGGAGTTTATAACGTTTTCTATAAAAGGCCGAAAGCATTTTGAACGAATCAAGCGTGACGCGTCTCCAATGAGAGTAAAGTTAAGACTGAACACTAGCAGTGTTATTATCATATTTTATATTCTGAACAATGAAATTAATTTCGCATCTTAATTTAAATGGCAAATACTTAAACTTTGAAGTTTGAACTTTTCTGCGATATTATTTATGATTATTATGATTTTACGATGCATCATGTATATCTTTGAAAACAAAAGTTGTAAAGTTACAGTAATCTTGTTTGCGCGAGTTAAATTACAGTGGATATATGATATTTGTTTTCAACATTTTTTACATGTGTAGTCTATAAAAAAAAATAAAAGAGTACTATATACTTTAACATGATTCATGTTATATAACTATCATTGATATTCTTAGTCATATTTCTTAAAGGTGATCGCAAATAGAATCTGAAATATAATCATTGCGAATTTGCGAAAAATATACGTATTTTTATATATCCAAATATTATATAATTTTCAATCACTTTTGACTTGAGGAAGAAATAATTTATATTCCTTGTTCGTATTCGTCAACACTTCAATGTGTGGGCGATGTCGATCAAAATGAATTTGTACTTTTATTTAATTTCCGGTAATCTTATGAAATAACCAGTTATAATGTAATGAGAATGCGAAAATATTGTAGACGCGCTTATACAACTGTTGATAGTTATGTGACAAATGAATTATTTGCACTTTCTAATGTTATATTTGTTTGTTTTATCGCATCGACTATTGTTGACAATTTTCTAATATTATGTATCTTATCCTTTACTTGAAATTCTATTTTATCTTTTACAATGCGGTCAATATATTTTTATTAACTCAACTCTATAAGTACCATACATTAGTTCGATTCGACTGACAATTGCGATTTATTAATCTCGCCGGTAAATTAATTCAAGTGCTAAATTGGAGTACAATCGGACTCTGTCTGTAGCACATGGCGGGAATTAAGCGTGAGGTCAGGTCGTTGCACAGCCATAGGAGCATAGTTCAACATATTAAAATTGATTATCTTATTTATCATTACAATACACCTAATATTATAAATGAGATCGTTCGTTTGTAGCCAAATTAAATTTTCTAGTGACGGAATTCCCGATCATTCTATAATATTAGTTGTTCATATTCTTTAAATTTATCTGACAACATTAAAATATTTTAAAATTTGTTATTTTATTTTAATCTGATAACGTTAATTATATATCTATCTAATATTATATAATAGATACATAAATCATAAATTCATCTAAATAACATTACAATTAATTACATTAATCATTAAAAATAATTTTATAAGCAATCTCATAATTATATTTCAATAATAATTTTTTGTTAATACTTTCTTATCAAATTGTCATTAGAATATTCATTTTATCAAGCGAGAAAATGTCGTTAATGTCGAATATGTGATATATAACGTTTTTTATGAATATTCTATTTTGATTGCGATACATTAAATGTATGCTACTCGACAGCAATGATACTGGTTGATAACGTAATCTCTCTGTCAAAATTCGTGCAATGATACGTAACGTATCGCAAATAGAATTTATCGTTGCACTTTCTAAAAGTATGTCTATGCTCAAGTATGATTCACGAAGAAACGTTCTTCCGCGTTAAAACATCAAATCAAATTAATTTACTATTTATTCATACTTACCGAGCGCTTTCATGAAATCATCGAAATTCTCGCTGCTGTACAGCTTGTATCTCTTTCCAAGGAAGTCCGGCATGACGATCGATCAAATTTGTCTGGACTCGAACACGTGATCAAGGAATGTAGGTCTGAAAGGACGATAGTTGTGATTATACAAAGAAATAATAAAAATTAGCCGATGTTCACCGTTTTGTCGCCGGCTCTAGACTGACTAGGATCTGGGAGGACGAAGTGCGTTAAAGGTACACTCTGTCTGAACTGACTATATATATATATATATATATCTCTCTCTGTCTTCTTCTCCCTCCCTCTTTCCTTTCGATGTCCTCTCTCACTCCATTTCGTTCACCCCCTTTTCACCGTTCCCTCGATCGATCTCTCTTTCTCGCTCGTCTTTCCTCATGTTTTTTCTATTTCCTATTCGAAAATCTTTTATCTTTGTTCCATCGCGTAGCTCGCATGTTCGAACAGTCCCCTCCTGAGATATTCGCAGCTGCTGCAAGAAGTTTTTCTTTTGTTCTTATATGAACTTTGGAATTTCTTTTTCTTTTTTTTTTACGCCTCTTTTTTGTTTTTCACTTCTATTGTAATAGTTTGGTCATAATAGTTTGTAGCATTATATTAAAATAAAAATACAACATATTAGAAAATGACGGAATACATATTTAAAAATCAATTAAGAACTTTGTAACTTTGTATTAGTCACGTATATAATATTTGATGTACAATAAATGTTTATTTATTTATTTAAATTACTTTTTAATGAATTTTTATAATATATAATATTTTTTTTTGACATTCATATTTAATCATTTAAAATGCTTGATTGCAACTAAAATCATCATTAAATATTTAATTACACTATGTTTTTAAGCATAATGTGTTTCTGATCATGCGCAAATACTCAACTATGCCAAAGGTTGCCGTTTATTGGATAACGAGCATTTGCGCGCGATATATCAAATAATCGTGATATTTTACAATTAAACTAGGAGTCTAATTATTTCTAATGGCGTGTCGAACACATTAAACGATTAATTACTTTCCATCACAAAAACTTATATATATATATTACGTGATCTTTACTCATAATACATCATTATCATATGATTCAATTAAAAATATATCCTAAAATTTCTATTTATGGAAAACATTGTAAACAAAGATATTTCTACAAGATTTACAAGGAAGATAAGACGATATAACGTTTCATTCAATGGATAGCCGGCGTCGATTTCGCTGCGTTTGCCAAACGGCCGGACATGGTCGATAATGGCGCGGTGGAAACGCGACGACGTGACCGCGACGCGTCCGCGTCCATTCCTGTTCAGCACGGGTGTCTATGATCGCGTAGCAACGTGCCACTTTCAACGTATACTCGCACGCTTATCGTGTCTGGCAACGTCGAAACCTGCGGAGAATTCCGCATCAACAACAACGTCAAAAAACGCAATCCATCGATAACCATCTCATATTAGTAAAACAATGTTAAATGTTTCCTCATTCTCATAAAGATATAAACAAACATATAGGTTATCAACTACTTTTGTATTTTCTTTTATGCAATATTAAATCATTACACGTCGAATTTCGATAATTCCATAGGTAAATTATTTATAGTAACGATTTACGTATTTGTTCACGCATGAATATCGAACTCCTACAACCGGTTCCAACCGATCACCGGTTTCTCCAGCGGCATTATTATAAATCCGGTGCGGTCGATGCGCACCAGTATCACCGCATTGGAAATGCGGCGGCGACGACTGGCCAACGAGGACGCGTCACACACACATTCATGCAGAGGAAAGGAGGCAATCGCGACATGTTCGTGGGTTTCACCGTCTTTTCAGTCTCGGCTGGTCGGGTAGATTTGGCAACGCTGCGGCATAGCAGCGGCATAGATTCCGCTCCGCAACCGCAACCGCACGCCAGCCTAGCGCCATGATGCCAAACCAAGCTAGCCGTACAACGGTTTCTCCGCAGTGACGCGCAAGCTGCCGGCGACGGCGTAGCATACACAAGCGAAATCACTTGCGGTATCATAACGTTCCGTCCAAAAAAATTCTTTTCCAATTCTTTCCTTGATCTCCATACCTCGATTTTCGTCATTAATCACGCACGAGTTTTCATGATATTCGTACCGCGAATCGGCTGATTGGTGCGATCGCTCGTCTTAATCTGAATCGATACATATCTTGTTCGTTCAATTATTGAAACTTTTTAATCGAGATTGCAATTGATATCGTTAAATAACAATCGATTTCTATTCTTTGATTTACAAAAAAGAAAAGAAAGAAATCAAAAAAAAAAAAAAGAAAGTATTTAAAATTGTCGAAAGACAAATAGCAGAAGAAAGGGGGTAAAAAGCGGAAAATTTCTAGGGTGAATTTGACCTTCATTAACGCGACTCACGATATGTTTGATACGGAAAAATTTATCGAGGAAATCGAGAAACGACCGGCAATTTACGATGTAAATCGTAGCGAGTACAACGACCGTAATGCCAAGATGACCGCGTGGGACGAGGTCTGCCAGGTGATGGTACCGAATTGGACGCTCTTGACGGACGAGGAGAGATACGCAGAAGGTACACAGCCTCTTGCGATCGATCGATCCAGATTCCTTGACTCGCGATTTATTCGATCCTAGCACGAATTATCGTGAATCCTCCTACAATATCCTCCTACAATCGTTTAGTAGTAGATGATACAAATTTTTTTCCACCGTTCAACAGTTAAAGAAATAATGATTGTTTAATCGCGTAATCTAAAGTAAAAAGAACAAAAAGATTAAAATATTTTATTTTTTTATTATGATTGATTGTTTTATAAGATTTTCTTTAAGATTGAGGATTATTAGAGATCAATTCTATTTTCCATATTTATAATATTAAACTTTTCTATTGCGTACAACAATTTCATAATTTTCAGAAAAAAATTTACGAGGGAAATGGAGAAATATCCGTGATTATTTTATGAAAGAATTGAAACTCCAGAAATCCCAGAAATTAGGGCCAGCTGGTCGAAAACGAAAGAAATACATGTATTTTGATCAGTTATTGTTTCTGATGCCAACGGTGGAAAACAAACGGTTAGTATCATTCAATTGTCGAAGCGTTCATATTTAAAGGGCGCATCGTTTCTAGTTATATTCCTATACATTACAGAAATGCTGGCACTACGTTAAGTAATTGTAAATCCGAAGAAAGCGAGGGCGAAGTTGACAATCCGGTGATCGAGGAATACGACGTACCATTGGCCCATGCTGCTCCCACCATTGCGACAGGCAGGGAATATCTTCAACCTGGCGCGTCCTATAAAATGTGCCCCCGTTATCCGAAGCAGCTTTGCGAAACGTCGTTCACGTCCTTCGATAATGAAATTCACGATATCCTGTCGTCGCACAGCAGCCAACGCGTTCCGTATGACGAGGACGACTACGACAAAATGTTTCTGCTCTCCTTATTGCCGATCATCCGACAAGTACCGGAAGAGAAGAAACTCGACGTCCGGATACAGATGCAACAAGTTTTGGCCCTGGCGATACGTCCTCCGGATGATATGCAATGATAATTCTGATGCTTTGACGATCAATAATTTGCAAATCAAAACGCTAGATCAGGACACGTGAGTATGCTAGTCCATACAAGAAAATGATTTCTTTATTATCGTTCTTGTTAATTATGTATGAAAATAGACAATGATTTTATCGATTCAATGTAGACACAACATATTCTTGAACTTTCGAATAGGAGAGTTATATTCATATTTAGACTGCACTTCGATTGAATTCGTTCTGATAATATCTGATAATATCGTAGATCATAGATTATTTGTGTCGTAAATATAGCGAAATGATAATATTTGAGAACGTTTCAAACATAAGTAAGCTTTTGTAAAAAAAAAAAAACGATAACTTAAAAGATTAAACTACCGAGTACCTATACCTGTGATATTACGCGAGGAAAATTACTTTTGACAAATGCCGAAACAGAAATAGAATTTATAATGCCTTCTATTCTACTATAGGAAAAATGATATACATAATTGTTCTTCGACATAGGACACAATATGTATTTTCGTAACTTAAAATAGATATCAGTGATATATATTATCTATATCTATCCTATATGAATGATGCGTGAATGATGGATGCGCGAGATTATAATTGATGAATATACGAAAAGTACATTGAACGTAACATTACTTTTCGTCGATACAAAATTCGTTTACGTTTGGACAAATGTGGACAGGTGGCAGCACTAGTATCACAATTTCAAAGTTTCAACTGCCTATACCTCATATAACGAGTATCGAAATACTTAATTTAATTTAATTTAGCAATTTAGATATTTAATTGAATCATTATTTCATTAAAATGTTTACTTAATTTCTGACTTAAAGATGTAAAGAAGTACTTGCGATAGGAATTATTATTATATATAATTCATATTTTGTACTAATGGATTATTTATCAGTTGGAAATAAAATTATTATCAAACTAAAAATAATTGAATATACTATTTAATCATTTTTTCTGCCGCATAAATTTCTCCTTATACAGGCGCAATGATGGAAAATTTGATATGGAAAAATATCAATTTCGATTCATTATTTTTCGAGGAATTTGACGATGACGCAAATAGTTGTAATATCATTTATATCTTGATACGCTTAGAAAATTTTTAAGTACCATTTTTAAGTACCATGATAAAAACTTTTGATAAAAAAGTTAAGTACATGGTATTTTAATGCTCATAATCTTCAATTGGTATGATGTATATTTTACGCGAAAAACAAGTTAAATCTTAAATCGACTGCTTTAAATTGGATTTTAACTATGATTAATATTTAATGTTTTCATTAGAACGCTCGTTCCTAACCTGAAATATGCAGAAAAAACATGGTCAATTGGAGACAGATCGTTCATTTATTTTTATTTCTCGCATTATTTTTACAGGATGAAACAAGCGCAACTAGGTTTAATTATCTGCCCTCCCAACTTCCGTTGGATGACGTTCTATTGTAGTATAACATAAAACAAGATATTCATGCGAGACATTTAATTATAACAGATAATGAGATCCACCCAAAATCCAAATTCACAATGTTCTGTCCCATTTTTAGTTAGGGTACGAAAGGAAGCGAAAATACGTTACATCCGCTTCATTTGTTAGTTGTTATAGTTGAATATCGATTAAAAATTTTATAATGTAAAAAACTGTGCGGTTTCTGCAATCATTGCTTTCGCAGTCGCGATACCATATAATCTCTATCGCGAATATAAAGCAATTTCAAACGAAATTTTGACCCAAATCTCTTTAACGAAATGTACGGAATAAATTGAATTTCGATTCGATGCGACTAACCTGGGTTGTTCGTTTACCGAAACATCGAAACAATGTATTTTGATATTGATGCTTACGCTTATTAACTCGTGCCCCCTACGCATTTAAATATAAACTGCCCATCATTGGTTTTCCATACAAATTACATGAATCGCAAACACTTTTGAGAGTAATATTTGAACAACTTCATTTTATGGTGGAACAGAATAAAATTACAAGAAACTTTTTGTCGTTCGTGCCGTTATTCCCTTTATCATCGAATATCCGAACAATAGGATTTGTATCGTGTCTGAATACCATTGTTTCGTTTCTTTTTTCTCGTTCAACTTTTTGATATTCAAAAAAAGAACGAAACAAAAAGAGAAATCATAAATACAAAATCACGGTACGTTTGAACACAAAGAATCGTTTTTCTTGTTATACACACAGTAGTTGAACGATTCAATTCTATTTGAATTAAACTTTGGTTTTGCTCCCGCTTAACGATTTATCGCTTAACAAAAATATTTCTATTTCGATATAATTTTCGTTTAAAACCTAAGCGTTAAAATATTAGCGAGTAGAATAGGTGACCGGTGTAGAACGTCAGCCGCGTAAACATGCAAGGGTTACCAGCAACTAGTGGCGTTTGTTGAAACCCAACCCTCGGTGAACCCTCCTTTCCCTCCCATTCACTCCCTTCCTGAATAGACACAGGTCCCCTCTCGATCTCCACGTACCAACCCCTCTCTCCTAGTCGTCTCTCTCTCTCTCC